CCTTTCGTGCATCCACAGTGGATGAGCTCTTGACATGACATTGCAGCTTCTGTAAGCCCTGACAAGAATGGTACCCATGTACCATCAAGTTTTTGCAAACCAAAAAAATCTGGTGATGGCATACCAGGATTTGCGACTAAACAATTACCCCAAAGAACACTACCTTGGTAAGCTACATGTTTCGAATGTTGAAGTAGTGGATCTCGTGTCGGAGGATTATTGTCAAATATTCTTGTCTTCTGTGTGAATAGATGTTTTCTTAATCCATTCACTATATTAGATAAACTAGATCGATCATACAGAATCACAACATAAAGTTCTATGACTTTTATGGCTTATAATATTGCCACTTCATTTGGATTTTCAATAATAGGCACACATGCATCTGACAGTTCCTCAAATACGGACTATGTGTCCCAAGCTGATTTCTTACCCTTCCCAGAAAAACCTGATACTGTGGCACAACCGGTGAAGGCATAGACTTTCGATTTCAATGATTTCAATGAAATGATCGGAAGTACTTTCCAGTGACAAAACCTATCCTCAACTGTTCAATCTGCAGTCTGTTGAAACAAGATACAGACAATACAGCATCTGTATCAACTGTTCTGATCAATATTCTGTTGTGACTTTTTCTGTGAAGCATCTAAGGGAAGCACAACATTCTGGTATCTGCATCCTCATGTGAACATGAGCTCAATGATGCATAGCTCTGTTCTGCAGTATTTCCAATGGCGTTGTTCTTGTCAGTTACTACGACCTCATTTTCAATGCCAGCTTTGATTATTTTATCAGCGAGAAAAATGAACGAACTCAAGTTTATTACTTCTAGACGCAAGAATTCTTGCCAGTTTCCTGGAACATTCGATTCGTCTTAAAATCGCCTTCTTATATCTTTACCACGTTTTCCACAAACACAATATCATTTTTTGTCCATCTTTTCCAATATTCAATATATACAGATCCACCAAAAAAAAAAACACTACAGATTGAGCATCTGTTAGGGACGACAAATAATCTAAACATTTTGACAGAATGTCAGCTTTTTTTCTATGACGGATTGTACCATTTTGACTTAGCGATGTTTCCATCTCTTAATTGACTAACAAAATACAGTCTTGAAAATAAAGAACAATTACTTTTCAAATACAGTGATCTATCGTAAAAGTTTTCATGCAGGAGGTGGTGTTTGGAAAAGTGGTAACTTTTTCCTCTTGATTTTATCGAAGACAGATGTTGTTCGATCAACAATGCCTTAGTCCCACATATAGACCTTACAAATATCAATACTGTCAATTTAGATTACAGGATTACATACCAGGATGTAGAATAAGGAGATTCTTTGACCTTTACAAACACCACTTTTCGAATTCTAGGATTACCTCATCCAATTTGTGTAATGTCGGTAAGGTTCTGACAATAAACGGTTAAGTGTACATGCTGTCACTTAATGTTCTCTATGTGTTTTTGTAACATGAGACGCCTACAGGAATGAATCTGCTGTACCGGGTGATGTAACCTGAGCATTTACTAAAACACTAGTCCATCAACTATCGTCAAACCAAGGGCTTTGAACGCAGACATTTCTATGTGTAAGCCGCCGAACATCATGACAAAGTTTCCTCACACATCCGAGACCAGTTCTAGTTTTACTACGTATACTGTGAACAATGGTTAGTCAAAAGCAACAACGAAATTAAGCTTTCTAACAACTCTACGAATAAGTTCTTCTTCTTCTTCTTCTTCTTCTTCTTCTTCTTCTTCTTCTTCTTCTTCTTCTTCTTCTTCTTCTTCTTCTTCTTCTTCTTCTTCTTTGGTGGTTTAATAAGTTGGTGTGGGTCCTTCATATATTAGAGTTCAATAAATGTCGTAGCATTGATTTAAACACAAATTTAGCTTCCTCGTGAAACAGAGGTAGGAGAGCAGGTTGGTGTTAGTTTGTTTTCCATCTGGCAACGATGAAGCATGATAGGCGAACCAGGAAATGTTTGTTCCAACTTCAGACTTTACACTTGAATTTTCGGCAACATCTTTGAAGTACTTGACTTCCACTTTTAATGCAACTGGGAATGACGACATAACAATTGAAAGCTCTGCTTCCACTAAAGAGATATCTTTTTCGCTGAATCTCATTTCAGCTGGCGGAAGATTCGCTTAACTCTCTGATAAAAAGGCTTCAGATTGGTTCAATGTTTGCAAAAAAGCTCCTTAAACATCCTATGAAATATGTTTGAATAAAGATATACAGGTACCATGAAATGAATCTTTTGATGATATTCTACTTGGATTGTGGTCAATGTTGTCTACGGCAAACAAAGCAAAAAAATTCTGCAGCAGATGGGTAGTGCACACAATACTTTCCTGGATATAACGACGACAAGCATCATTGGCCATCGAAGTGGAAGTTTCTAACACTCTTTCGTAGGAGTCCAAGTTTGAAGAAAGTGTCTAGTAGGTCACGTTTTCTAGTCTTACAGTGGATCATGCTTCCCAAATAAGCACAAACGAGGGGTTCATGGTCTTCAGTGTGACGGTTGGTTTGTTTTTTGTACAACTATACATCAGAAGCTGTGCTATTGGTAATTTTGACTGAGAATATGAACGATCCCGAATGTTCGGTCCAGAATGAATTATGCTGACCAAAGACAGCAATGAATGGGGTACAGACGTTTCTTATTGATTTTAATAGATGGCTTCATATTAGAAAATATTCATTAACATTATATCTAACACTATGCAAATTTCATGCTTTTACTACAAAGTTGTCAATAAAACAAATATTTACAAGTGATAAAATAATATATATTTGAAATGTAGTTCATAGATATTAATAAATTTTATGAATAAAGTGAAGGTGGGAGATAAAAAATTGTGCCTTTGACGAATTTTCAAATATAATTTTCTTTAAAGGAGACATTTATTGTGATACTGTTTTTAATATCTAAAATATTAATACTAACATTAATATCGAAATATATCATTTTATAATGTAAAATATTTATATTAAAATCATTGTATCACTTTTAATGGGTAGGGATGATTATGCAGTATACAGCCTTTATGTTGGTCACATTTTTATTAGAAATTATAAATTAAGAATTCATATATTACAGAAGTTAGTGCAATCATTGGTTAACATTACTCGGGATTTTTTTTGTTGACCTTAAGATGGATTTTACTTAAGTCAATATAATACTTTCATCATCTTTATAATCTTTTTCAACTGGTGTAATCATGGTCAAACACAAGCTGATCCCCAAACTAATTCACACAATTTTTCTTCTTTTCAAGTTATAATAATGAGGATGTGCCATGAGCGCATGATACACCCATTGCCCTTTCAGCTCGTGTTTATGCTTTAAATGAATTTATATGATCAACTAGAAATACTGAGAGCATTGCTCCAAATGACTATCCCCCTCCTAGAAAAACAACAAAAAAAACAAATACAAACAAAAGAACCTGAGAAATGCACATAGTTGTACGCATTGACACCAAACATGAATAATTTGGCACTAGTTTAACTAAGTGTATGGCCTTGATTTTTCACTTATATATATCTATTTTGTTCATAACACACCTTCGGGTGATGATCATCCATGAAAATGTTACCAAGGATATTCAATATATATCAAGGCATATAAATGAACTTAAAAGTCGTGGATCAGATATATTAGACCAAGTAATTCTTTGTCAAAAATTAACCGTTTTTGACGATGGTTTACGAATAAAATTCCATAACCACCCAAAGTGTGAAAAATGCGCAGTTTTCGACGATTTTTCAACGAAAAAAGATCCATAACTCCACAATGCCATATCAGAAATTTATAGAAAAAAAGGAGCCTATTATTTTAATACATATAAACAAGTCATAAAAACTACTCAAAGAGTTATTGTCCGAAAACTGGAAAATTCTCCTTTCATTTTTCATCGGCAGTCAAACTTTCTCCGACTTGCATCCGTTATGTCATCTATAACAGGACCTACTATTGTATGAATTGTTATTTTTTTCGCGTCCTGATAATGCATGACACCTTTGCCAAAGGATGTTAGACAACCAACAATATACCGGTAGTATAAATGTGTAAACCATTGAGTAAAAACATGTTTAAGTTGCTCATTAAAGTAGTGAATAAATGTTAGTTAAAAATAAAAGAATGAATGGTTAAAACCACTTTTATCTGGTTTCTTTTATTTTGTATGATGTACTCCTTATTTAATCGCTGTTGAAATTGAAGGCAACAGTAGTTTTCCAAGAGAGGTTAAACATACCAAAGAGATATTTAAACACATAAGTCGAAAATAAACTGACAATGCCTTGGAAGAAAACGAAATCCGAAAAATTGATGAACAACAGTACACAAAACACAATATAGAACACTAAAGACGGAGCAACACCAACCCCACCAAAAAGCGGATTATATCTCAGATGTTCCAAACGGGTAAGCAGTTCCTGCTAAACATGTGGCACAGTCTTATTCGGTAGGTCACATTCAAATTTTAACATTTAAGTGTTATTAATCCATCAAGAAGATACAAATCAATGGAAAAAAAACTTAGAGAATCGGGTGCTTTATCTTACAAAAATGTAAAGTTAACAATGAGAAAACTAAAATCAAAGACCCTAATTTAAGCTGTAAGTCAAGTAAGAACCATACATAACTTCTCGTTTCTCGTTTTTTATATAGATTCGACCTTTTCTTGTTTGAATTGTTTCACACTATTCATTTTGGGGCCCTTTATAGCTTTCTGTTCGGTGTGAGTCAAGGCTCTGTGTTGAAGGCCGTACTTTGACCTATAATTGTTTACTTCTTACACATTGTGACTTGGATGGAGAGTTGTCTCGTTTGCACTCATACCACATCTTCTTATTTATATGTAGTATCCTTTGTTTCAAGTGTAATTGGCTATATGCAGAAAACGAAATTTTATAATATTGTACTATTTAATAACAAAACATGCTCCGCACAGAGAGGGTATTGCTATAGCGAAAGCAAATATTTATGTATTTTCATTTAATGTCAAACGTTTTACTTTGTACAAACGACACAAAGAACATCTGTTTCATTTGTATACGGAGGACATCTTAAACTGCCACATTTGGTTCGGGTAGGATAAAACACAGCGCCATCTTCATTTCCATTCTTATTGTCCACCGGTTCTGCATTGATGTCAACACAGGCAAAGTCCCTTCTAAAATGAGTATTATGATCGCTCATCAGATAACCATTATATTCTGAGTTCCATCCTTTATAGCAAGACTTTCGACCTGCAAAATTTAAAGTTACTGATAAATGAAAATCGATCTTTTTGAGTTAATAAAAATACATTTGATAGATTTGACGTCTGTATTAGACATTTCGTTACCGCACAAAATACATTGAGTAACGTACAGATAAATTAAGACACACGTATGCATTTACATGTATAGTCTTTCAAAAATTCATAAACGTAACAGATTATGTACAATCATTATAACAATAATTACGCTTGAGCAAAATGTTAAATTAATGAAAATCGAAATGTTCTACTTACCTGGTATCATCAGGACCGTTGATCTGTGTTTTTGATAACAGACAGAACATGGTACTTCCTTGTCGGCCATACTTTCTGACCATCCTGATGGCTTCATTGACGAACTAAGTTGGTATTCAGATCCATAGACCTGGTTATTGCCATATGATTGATGCTGTCCATTCTCTGGATCATTAGGGAGACATAAATAGTTCACACCACCTCCTCTGTATCCATATTGAGTTCCACCGACTTGCCCTATAGCAAATTGTATTACAATGAAGTTAGAAAAATGTATACAAACAATTTAAGGTGATAGAAGCTAATATTTACTTGATCATAAAAACAAAGGCACATTACATATTGATGTAAGGTTAATTTTTGTTGTATCATTGTGTTCTTTTTTTTTCGTCCGTCTCATTGAATTATATAACAAACCTCACTTCATTCGTAAAAACAGTATTTGTATTTGTATTTGTATTGGAAATTTGTTGAATTATGTGAAGACATTTAAGACATTTTGTGAATAGACGCGTATTATATTTGCCGTACACTTAATGTATATTACAATGTAATTAAAAATAATAATGTCAATAAAAAGTGAGAAACTACATCAAAAGGGCACAAAATAATATAAGGTGAAAAAAACAGACAACATCTTAACCATAGACCCATGACAAAAGGACAAAATACAGAAAACTTAATCGAACCCGAAAAAAATAGGATGAACTCAAATGATCCTGAAGAATAAGTATTCCCAACTCTACAAGTGGTACCTTTCGTCTAACAATTGTATCAAAGATGACCAAATTATATACAAGTAGTTCAAAGATATAAATTGTTTTCTTTTACCTGTATATACTATTTCAGCACCTTTTGGACAACTTTTCTTTCCCCAGCGTACATATGTTACTCCTTTAAATAATACAACAAATAGGCACAATAAATAATTAAGTAAAAAGTAGCAGGTAATGTTTTGTTTACTTTAAAGGCAAAATAAAATCCAATACAATATTTACATAAGGGTAACTGAAAAATTTTCAATGTCATAATAGCTCTCATTATGAGTTCGAAGTGCTACTATTTATTCAATGTTTAATATGTATTGATAAAATTTTGTCATGTTTGCTTCATCATTTTTTTTAAGAACATTGGTTGTCAATCCCGGTTTTCCTTTTTTATTTGATCATTGTCGGGCATACTATTTAAAGCAATAAGAAAACATAACCATATCCAATGTTGTACATAATGTAAAAACCTGAATTTGATGTTTTGATCGGTGGCGGACATTCTTCTTTCCTTGAAGTATGTAGGTAATGTTCCATCATATCTATCAGTGACTGGTCTGATGCTGATAGAACATAGTTCTTACATTCATGGTTTTCGGCATTCATTATGACAGTTGCTAGAACAATTGCCATATACGTCGAGTGTATTTTCATTCTGCAAATGAAATAAAATACAAATGATATATAAACTTATCATAGATTACAGGATACAAATTTTGTATGCCAGACGCGTGTTTCGTCTACAAAAGACTCAGTGATGATCAAGATCAGTGAACTCGAATATGAAGGCCAAATAAAGCACGAATATGAAGAGCATTGAGGATCTAAAATTCCGAAAGGTTTTGCCATTTACACCTGAGGTAATCTATGCCTTGGGTAGAAAATCCTAAGCATTTCGAAAAAATTGAATGTTTTGTTAACATTGAATTTATGATTATGACCATATCAATGATAATTCATGTCAACACAGAAGTGCTGACTACTGGGCTTGAGATGTATGTAATAGTCTTCTAACTGAACCTTTTGAATATCAAACAATTTGCTTGCAAAATTAGATAATGTTGAATTTAGGTCAACTGAAATTAATGAAGTCATTGATAGTTTAAAACGCTTTTATGTTTTATTCGCGGATCAAATCATCTAGTCTTAACGGCATTGGAAAATAGCGGTACACGGTAGTAGCTGAGACTGATGAAGGTTGCCAATCTGTCCTAAAAACATAACTGTAATGTAATTATTTTTCTAAGCTAAAATGTAATGAAAAAAAGTAAACCATACCTTTACTTCCGTGCTAAACCTAGGACTTTTACACAGTTAAAAATATAAGTCCAAGGTAAAACTGAAATATTTTGTATCTACATCAGTATTATAAATTACTTTTATATATTTGTTATCTTAAGGTAAATCATAACGAGTGATTTGCGTGACATGGTATTGACTTTTTGTACAAATGTAATGCATACATGTATAAAAATTTCAAACATTTCTTGGAAAAACATATAACAGCTTTTGACTATATTTCATTACTATGAACACAGGGCATAACCGCTGTTCAGTTCAATCCGGAGATTTGCGATCTGGCCTAGTGGTCATAAACATTTCTAGCACGATTTTCCTACTCACACTCACAAATAAACCAATCAAAATGCTGAATTTGTTTTTTCGAGCACAAATTTTGTATTTAGAGTACTGAGTAAATTTTTTTCACCGAGATCCCTGGAGAGACAAATACAAAACAACAACAAGCTGAGGAGAGTTATATATAATGTTGAAAATATAACTTAAATATGTATACATTATATATGTAGGACTCGGAGGTGCGATGGGTACGCTGAAGTGCGATGGTCACGCTGAAGTGCGATGGTCCACGCCGATGTGCGATGGTCCTTTCGCTGAAGTGCGATGGTTTGGTAATATATAAATGCCGCTTGAATATTGTGACGTTTTCAAATACAATGTTACTTTTAAAAATACAACATGGATTCTCAGGCAAAGAAAGAAAGGAATGAAAAAAAAAATGTAACGAACGATTCAAGTCCCGAACAGTTTTGAGCAGTACAGGTCGAGGTTACAAGATATGTTAAGCCATTTCAGGCAGCAAATCATGGGGAGTAAAGCAGCTGAAAGATGAACTTGGTCAGCAAATATGCTAATCAGTGTTCGGAAGTATGCCGCAAACTTTTTGCACAATAGATATAATATATTGATTTAGATATAAATTTTGACTTCTCTTCAAGTATGCGTCACATGATTTTGTGTGGATAATTTAATGATAAAATTAATTATTAGCAATGTTTTTGCTACATCAAGTTAATAAAATGTTGTTTTATTCCCGAGATAAATCCTGCTTTGTAAGAACACCGGCAGTCTAGCATAATGTTATTGTGGTTACAGTGTTAATCTTCTACAACAAGTTTGGCCGAAGTAAACCTGACTGGTCCCTACGTGTACTTCCAAATTTCTCCTCCTCAGCGGAGAAGCAGCTAATTTTAAAGTTTTTGGTGGAATACGTGACACGTCTCGCTATAAGTCAAGCATAAATATAATTTGCTATTTTTACTTCTTGGACACTGTTCCGACATCAGATAAATGGATGAATGATTGTTGCAGACCATCGCACTTCAGCATAACCACCATCGCACTTCAGCGTAGCTATCAACAAGTTAACGTCATAATGTCACCATCGCACTTCAGCGTGTTGACCAACGCACTTCAGCGTGGACCATCGCACTTCAGCGTGACCATCGCGGTTCGGAGTACCATCGCGGTTCCGAGCCCTACATATATACATAAATACATTGTATATATATTAAGTCATCAATATAAATGGAGAAGTTCTAATTTTAACTCGAGCTGTAATAAAATTGAGAATGGAAATGGGGAATATGTCAAAGAGACAACAACCCGACCAAAGAGCAGATAACAGCCGAAGGCCCCCAAAGGGTCTTCAACGCAGCGAGAAAATCTCGCACCCGGATGTGTTTTGAAAACGCAAAAGATGCTTTAAATATGTATACAAATAACATCAAATAGCAGCTAGTATACGTAGTGCAAGCGTATTGTCCTCTAGAATATATCCCATATGCATTCATTTACGGCAATTCGTCTTTGAATTAAAGTATATTGACTCTGTATTTATCAACATCGCTTCGACAAGCCGCAAGGTCTTGAATTAACTGTATGGCTGTTATATACTCCGTGTATACCTCTTTTTTTTCAAAATGTAATAATAACAGTATAAGAATGATAGAAATGCTGCAGTTTATTTCTAAAAGTAGCCGTCCGAAATTACCATCTTAACTTTTCATACATGCATACGTACTTGTTAATGTGTTGTTCAACTAGAACTTTGACCTTCGTTGAAGATTTTGACACAGTTGCATACACACTTGTCTATGGTTGAAGACCGTATGTTGATCGCTAGATGACCCTATTTTACTCCGTATGTGTCTTTGAGAAGTATCTCATCAAGGTATATCCCACATCTCATTTTATTCATACTTATCCTTTTACCTTACTTACTTAGATTTAATATATATTTTGAGACAAATTCCTATAGTCTCAAAAGATGCCTATTGTTTTCCTCGTTATAAGGTAAATGCTAATAAAATTCAAATACTTCAAACACTGATCTAGATAGGGTAACATTTGTCTGTTAAGGTTAAATCTCGACTTTTTAATAAATTAAGACATAAAATAGGCAACCACAATATATACGTAGTTATTGACGATACAAGTTCGAACTTTCAGCAAGTAACAATCAATCAATCGCCTCGTCCACTTGTTCTTTTATACGTATCAGGCATATGACAGGTCCCTGTATGGCTTTCAATAATAATAAATGCGCGTACTGTATAGAAAGGTACAAAAGGCCCCGGATAATAAGATTTGAAACATAAATTAAAGAAAACATACGACATGATTTAAGCTTAAACCATTAAAAACAAATAATGACAGAGAGTAACCACCCACAACCACTAGACTATTGTCTCAAGAATTGGTACGAACACATACAAATTTGGTGGGGTTGAACATGTTAGCTAGCTCTCGATCCTCCCCTACTGGAACAAAGTGTAACATATAACTATGAGACAGCTTATCTCGCCTCTTGGGATTCTGAAGGATTTTGTGTTGATTCTGTTTTTGTTATTTGTTTTGTGGATTGATCCTTGATCCTAAAACTTTATTTTCGATAGAACATTTTACATTTGGTCATGCATAAGGGTTACAAAATTAACATGTTTCAATGGTTTTAAGATTTAAACGGGAATATTTGTTATACATAAGAAACTTATCAATTTGGAAATGTATGAAGCCTTTTTAGTGAGTATGACTCAACACCGGATCCTAACAAAAGAAACATCGATCTAAGCCTACACTTCATATTATGCCTTTATTTTTTGTTTTACCCAAATTTTATTTCATGAAGGTAAAATCGTTTAGATAAAAACAGATAAATACACATCTAAAATCAGATTCCTGGCACCAAACGAATATTCATTTACTGATTCATTAACCCATATTTTTACGTTTCGAAAAAGTATCACAATGTAAACCAAAATAAAATGCATAGACATTCATTATAATATATAATAATTTGATTGTTAAAAAACGAAAATGCAGCTACAACTTTCGAGAAATAAATACTGTAAGATTACCAAGCACCAAGTTACTTAGTCTTTAGTTTTCTATGCTGTGTTTTTTATACTGATGTTTGTCTTTTGATCTTATCGTATTTTGCCTTGCGTTATCAGTTAATTTTCGACTTATGAGTTCGAATGTCCATTTTGTATATTTTGCCTGTTTTCTCGCTTTACAGTCATGAATCAAACAGGGATGTCAAATTCATGTACATTTTCTTTCAAAACAGGGAAAATCGAATAACAGTCATGATTTCTTGCAGAAAGCTATCGATTGGAAAAGGATCAAGATTAAATCAATATAGTGTAAATAAAATTGAGAATGGAAATGGGGAATATGCCAAAGAGACAACAACCCGACCAAAGAGCAGACAACAGCCGAAGGCCACCAATGGGTCTGCAACGCAGCGAGAATATCCCGCACCCGGAGGCGGTCCTCAGCTGGCCCCAAAACAAAATTATGCACTGGTCCAGCGAAAATGGACGCCAGACCAAACTCCAAAACATACAAAGGAACTAAAATCAAAAAACCATACAAGACTAAAAAAGACCAGAGGCTCCTCACTCGGGACAGGCGCAAAAATGCGGCGGGATTAAACATGTTTTGTGAGATCTCAATCAACCCCTATATTTCTAGCCAATGTAGAATAAACAAACACACAGTATAATCACAGTGAAACTAATTTTAAAAGAAGTCCGAGTCCGATGTCAGAATAGGTAACAGAAGAAACTAAGCAAGATGACAATGATACATAAATTAACAAAGGACTACTAGTAGTTACTGACATGCCAGCTCCAGACCTCAATTAAACTGATTGAAAGATTATGTTTTCATCATATAAAAATCAGGTATAATCCATCCCGTTAGGTGTTTAGTATCATACCATCATAAAATATATGAGAAGAACATAACCCGTACCATGCCAACAACTGGTTTGAGAATAAATGTGTTTATTTCCGATGCAAAGACCCTATGAGTGAATCAATATTAATACCAAAATATACAATCCTTAATGACCTGACAACAGTATCGTAACTATATCCTTTCCGAATAAGTCTGTTTAAAGGTTTGGTTAGCTTTTGAGGTGAATGCCGACATTTTTGTGCTTTCTAAAGAATATTACCATAAAATATTGGATATAAAATACCTGAACGTATAAGATTTATATATTTATATTTACGAATGATAAAATTTGGTAAATGTTTTGACTAGTTTGTGATATCGAAAACCCTGGTGTAATAATTTTTCAGTAATACAGAGATTTCTTTCGTTGAAATCAAATACGTTGTTACATACACGAGCGAATTGAACAAGTTGAGATATATAAACACCATAAGATGGTGACAAGGAAACGTCACCATCTAAAAATGGATAATTAACAATAGGAAAGGAAAAATTATCTCTTATATCATACATTTTGGTATAAAGGGTCCATTAAAGATATAGATATCAAGATCCAGGAAGGGGCAGTGTTCATAGTTAGTATTAGCTTATTTAAAGTCAGTTCGGCAGGATACATCTCTTTAGTGTACATACTGAAGTCGTCGTTATTGAGAGCCAATATATCATCTAAATATCTAAAAGTGTTATTAAATTTTTGAATCAGATGTTGTTTCGATTGGTCTTTGCTGATTTTAGTCATAAATTGTAACTCATAACAATACAGAAACAGGTCCGCAATTAAGTGGTGCACAGTTAGTTCCCAT